AAATATAGTTTGCTTGGTGATGGGCTACTGTTACTACACTGTTCAATTTGTCTTGCTTTTTTATTGCTGCATTATAGTTGATTGGTTCCCCTGCCACGAAAGGATCCAGTGCAGTGCTTTTATTTTGTTGCGGTAGTCTGTACAAATTAATGCTTGAAGAAATCTTAGCCAGAAACATAGAAAGATAGAACTTGCTGGCGAGGCTCCTCTAGTCAGTCCGGGCCGTCCGAGTGGTGCGTCATCAACCTCGTTCCCAGGGTGTCATATTTGCATACGGTGCGTGCAATAAATTAAATGTGTCACGCAATAATAAATCAAATCGAAAATCATCCAGTGGATGAAGCCAAGAAATCGCGATATTATAGAGGATAAATAAAGAAGTAACCTCGCTAAGTTTTAGGTCTGCGCGTTTTCTCAAACTGAATATATTCGTCGAAATGTTGCGCACAAGTACCTCAATTGTACACCAATATGGCGGCCGGAAAATAATGTACATATAACATTTGGAACTTACTTGGGTTATCTAGGTGGCTGATTATCTGTACTGAATAATCAGACATTGACAATAACACTGCTCCTTATACGTATAGTTCTCAAATGGCTAAAAATCACGAGTTAATATATATTTTTTCGACAAACATGATCGTAACTTCATGTCACGCACCACAGTGACGGCTGAAATTCACACTGAGCTAGTTTTCAAACGAAGCACGCGATTGAACTCAAACGTTGTGAACAAATGTAAAATTAGCAGCTCTTATGCCTGATGAGAAAAAAACTTTGGTGGCTGTTCAGTATTGGATTTAAGAATTTCAATAAATCACATGAAAACGAACAACAGTTCTGTCTCGTGGGATGGGAACGGAGAGAAAATTCTAGAGAGAGATGCGAATGTACCGGTAATGTTGACTTCGAATTGATCGCAGTGTGAGTTGTAACAACACTCGTGCGAGGTAATCTGCGAGAGCAATCGCGTGCCTGTAGTTCGACAAATCCAGAGAAGGACAACTTATTATATTGTCCGAATGGGTAATGAACTTAAAGAAACTCCTTGGGTATTGTTGTATTGTCCCAAAATTTATTAGCCGCGTCTTGCATTTCACGCGTCACTCATGTGGTTTCTAAGCGACAAAACAATCTCTTTCGGTAATTTATTAAAATATATGCTAGCCATAGTAACACACCCAACGAAACTGTCAACAACACCTCAATTGAATACCGGTTGAAGCAGGTTTTTAATCCCGCCGTAAAATAACTGGATGCTACCGAGGGAGGGATAGACACAGTCAAAACAGATAACAGTTGTATTTTGGCTAGGTTTTGGGCTTAATACCCCTCACTTCCAACCTAACATAAAAATTTAGCTGGTCTATTTCGGTCCAGGCGGGTTTCACTGCTGCTTCTCACAAATATTTTCCTCCTATCTCTCCCTCCCTCAGTTAAGACTGTTATGCAAATTTATGCAAAACCTATTGTTACGAAAACCGGTTTAGCCGTCAACACGCGGTTGCCATGAAAATGAGCTATAAAGAGCGCTCAAAACCACTGCCCTGCATTAATCAAACGGTCACTGTCTTCTATCGAAGCCGTCGCCTTACGAGTGAAGACTCCAGCCCAAATTTAACCAGAAACGTATTTGACTGCTCGTTTAATAATCCTACATCAAGATGGTAAGTATAGTTCTTGTTTAACGGCCATAGATTAGCTAAATGGTTGCGATATTGAAAATCGTGTCACTGTGCAATTTTGCAGTGATCAGCCATAATTGACTACCGCGCTTTTAGTGATGAACATTTCGCTTTCCATATAATATGGAAAAGCCAATGCGTGTATATTATCTTTCAAATCGCGCGTAGTTACCACTGTATGTAGTTAAGTTGCTAATTTCAAACTGTTAACCTCCTTTTATCTTCTTTACCCAAGCGTGAGTGTATTTCAGTCCACGTTGGCCAAGCCGGAGTTCAGATTGGAAACGCTTGTTGGGAGTTGTACTGTCTGGAGCATGGAATTCAGCCTGATGGCCAAATGCCAAGCGACAAGACTATCGGCGGAGGAGACGACTCCTTTAACACGTTTTTCAGCGAGACTGGAGCAGGAAAACACGTTCCTCGCGCTGTGTTCGTTGACTTGGAACCAACAGTCGTCGGTAAGACAACGAAAAACTTCTTCTATTCTCGGTTTTTGCCTTTCATAAAAAACAGAATTGCTTTTAGAGTACATTTCTTCGGACTTTCGATCGCGCGTCATCGACAGATTTTATTCAAGCAAGCGAAGTTACGAGAATTCCAACCGTCGAACGTCATTCGCTTGACTGTCGTATGATTTCCTTTGTCCTTATTGTTGCGTAACAACGCGTTACGATTAATTATTAACTCTTAAGATATTTGGATCGAAACTCTCAGCTAGAAATGATATTTATGCAATGGCCTTACGTTCTAAATATCGTTTATTTTGGGGAATTTTGTCTGAAGAGTTTGGCGGTACATTATTACGCTAATTAGTAGTGGTTGTCCAAGAAGTGTGACCATAGCAACTACTCCCTACTGCTGCTGTAAACATCAAATCTGCTTGAGCAAACCTGGATATGTAGATAGAGGAACAGTTGAGAGATCTTGAAAGAAAGTGAACGGAATATTTCACATAAATTTCCATTTTTCACATTCATACCAGTTCATCTTTTTTTGAAGCCTTTTGGAATAAAGGGTGACTGACTAATTTGTTACAAGATCTTAAATGTGTAAAAGTGCTCACTAAGCATTTTACTTCCAGATGAGGTCCGTACTGGAACATACAGACAGCTTTTCCACCCAGAACAGCTGATGACCGGCAAAGAAGATGCTGCTAACAACTATGCTCGTGGTCACTACACTGTTGGAAAGGAAATGATTGATCTTGTCTTGGACAGAATCCGAAAATTGGTAAGCCAATTTCAAACTGCAGAAGAGTTTTGTTGTAGTCTTACTACATAATCAGTGACTGATGTTTTGGTTTGTCTGTCTTGTTAGGCTGACCAGTGCACAGGTCTGCAAGGTTTTCTCATCTTCCATTCCTTTGGTGGAGGTACTGGCTCTGGATTCACATCTCTGCTTATGGAGCGTCTGTCTGTTGACTATGGAAAGAAATCCAAGCTGGAATTTTCCATCTACCCAGCACCACAAATTGCAACGGCTGTTGTTGAGCCTTACAACTCCATTCTGACCACTCACACCACCTTGGAACACT